TGGACTACTACTCAGCCATAAAAAACAAGACACTGGCATTTCCTAGAAAGTGGTCAGATATGGAAGATTTATTGCTGAGTGAAGCAAGCCATGCTATAAAAGGAAGATATTGTATGTATCCACTTAATATTTATCGACTATCCGCACTTGATGGTAGAGACTGAAATATGGGAGGGCATAAAATCAGTTAAAATAGTTATGAACACTGAAGCCAGTGTGGAAACGGGGTGGGAGGAGGAAGAGTACAGAGAAGGAAAGCAGGAGAAAGACCAGAGAGGCATGACATTAGTGGGACACAGATATGGCTTATTACCTGTTGATAATAACATGTATAGTATTCTCAACTGGACTGGTCTGAGAAGTATTTCATGTTAGGTAAATTCTCTCTCTTTTTTTGGAGAGAAGTTTTTGCTATAGGGTGCGTGCGCTTGCCATAAAGACAGAGAGAGACAGAGAGATAAAAAGCGAGAAATCACCCCCCTCAGGGTGGATGACTATACTGCAATCCTTCTCCTCCATTCTCCTCTCAGGATCCTGGGCACGCACGTACACGTGCCTGGCATGAGTTTAAGCCACCGGTTCCGGGACTTGAACTGTGGTTGGCTACATGGGAGTTCAGAGACATAGCCATTACGCTAACTGCTAGTTCCTTTATTCATTAACTTATTTTAATTTGACCAGAGGGAGACACAGAGAGAGAGAGGGAAAGTGAGAAAACAAGCCACCGGGTGATTTCTCGCTTTCTATCTCTCTGTCTCTCTTTCTGGCAAGCACACGTGCCCTATAGCAGAAACCTCTCAAAAAAATAATAAATAAAAATTTAAACAATTAAAAATTGAGAATTTTAAAAAATAACAATTATAGTAATAATCTGAAAAAACTGAAAAGCTATATGATGATGATGATGAGGGGGATAGTGATGTTTTGTCTTGACTGATACGCATAGTAATCATGCTGAAAAAAGAAATGTTATACACTATAAAGATATGTGTGATTAAATGCAATACAATTAAAAAAATAAAAATATGGTATTAGGGTCAGCAGGTGGTGTGGTGGTTAAGGCGCTGAACTCCCATGTGGCTGACCACGGTTCAAGTCCTGGACCTGGCAGCTTACTTTCTCACTTTCCCTTGCTCTCTCTCTCTCTCTCTCTCTCTTTGGTGTCTCTCTTTGATAAAAATTAAAAATAAATTAATTAATTTAATTAAATAAATAATTCTTAAAAGAAAAAAAAAAAACATGGTCTTAGAGACCAAGGGGTAGGGGAAGTGGAAAGGGTGGGGGTTGTGCAGAGGGTGGGAGGTTCCCAGTCACCATGGAAATGGTAATTAGGCTTAACCCTAGTGCACACCAGAAACTTCCAGAATCAAATACTAGAAAACAACAATGGCAGCGGAATCTAAGTGGATATCTGCGGAATGAAATTTGGTTCTCTTTTAGGCATTATTTATAAAATGGACTAAGTTGAGTTTTTGTCATTGTCGTTGTGAATTATAATGCACGAGGGGAGAAAAGAATCAATCGCTAACAGCCATCGCGTGTTGGAAATGGCTCGGATTGAATTCTACTTCGAGTTCGGACTCAGTAGACGTGAAGTCTCCCGATGGAGGCCACGTGGACCACCAGACCACTAGATCAGGGACAGAGCCCTGGGGCTGGTGCTCTCACTTGATTGTCAAGGTTCACCTCTTGAATAAAAAGAAAGAGCTCGTCACTGGGATCGGAGCTGCTAGAGTTTGCTTGTTGGCAGGTAGTGTTTCCCCCAATCCACTACTCAGAGAGAAAACTACGCCTCTGCTCTTCCCGGCTCCAGCAGCCGGTGTGAGTAGGCACGTAAGGGAAAATTCCCTGCGCTCTTGTCTCCGCTCCAATGGGCTCCTCTTCTTGAGTGTGTGCACATATATGTGTGTGTGTGTGTGTGTGGTGGGCCGGGCGAGGCTGGACTGAGGTGTAAAACATGCTGGTAAAGTCCCTTTACTATCTAACTGATGGATAGCGATTAAATGTATAAAGAATAAAATAATAATAACAATAAATAAATAAAATAATTTGTTAAATATAGAGGACTTAAACAGCTTCATATACAATAAATGGAGATCATAGTCATTTTTTAAGATGATAGTTTAGAAAACGAGCACAGCATGTAGTTGCTATAGATACAACACAATAGATAGATTACAATACATACACTATGCTCTCACATATACCATATATTCCCATGGTGCAGAAGAAAAATCCTTAATTCAATAACCAGGAATTTGATGGCATGAAAAGCTTTGCTTTCAAGTATATATTTTTTTCTGCTTTGGAATTCTTCAGGGTTTTTGCATTTGCTACGCAGATCCAGTGATTCCGTATTGTACAGATTCTTGACTACAAAGGCTCCTTTTCTTTTCTTAATTTGAGGTAAGCATTTGTTTTTCCCAAGGACATGGATCAGAAAATACTTTTACTGCGATGTGAATCTTTAAAGCAGATACTGCTATAAACCAATCTGGAATTACATTTTACTTAAGGTAGCACAGGAAATGAACAAAAACGAACAGAACCTAGTTCTTAAGCCCATTAATTTAATGCACAATTATCATGTCACTTTCCTAGCTATGGATCATGATGGTAATGAATAAAAATATAAAAATGAGCAATGTTTTCTTTAAAACTGTTTTATTATATTCTGGTTCATTCTTAATTTGTGTTAACTTTGGTGACATCTTTCTGTTAAATAACCTCAGAACTTATCACCCATCGGGGTGCTGAGACATGCTTACTATAAAAAGCTGCAAGTCTTATTTGCCATAGACTTTCGATCACTTACATTATCTCGAAAGCAAAGCACAGCACAGACAATTGCTTATGGGGGCAGGTGGGAGGTAACCACCTAGGTTGTGTTTAGACAGACCCCTCAATCCTAAAGAAATTTCTTTTTATTTTCATTTTCTTGGGATTATTTCCAATCTATTTATGTTAATGCTTTGTCACTGAGGAGAGAAGATAAACCTGGGGTTTTATGGATAGTGCTCTTTAAAAGGGGGAAACGAGGAGGAATATGTAAATCAAGTTTTATTATTTTTAGATTTTTAGTGGTTTTTACTTTCCCATCATATCACTAGCACCATTGTGGAAAGGTAATGGGTACTTCAGTGGAGCACGTTTGTCAAAGGTTTATCTGTTGGGTGGATGTTTTCTAGAAAAGCAAGTGCATGTGAAGACCGTGTCCGCTGCTCATTAGAAGGTTGTGTCCAGTGGTATGGCAATTCGGTCCTTCTGAGCTTAGGTATGGATGCAGTCGGACAACAGAGTCTATGGAGTGTTCACTGGGGGACTGTCATGGTTAACAGCAATGTTATGATTTGACTGTGTCTCCCCGAGAGTCATGTGTTAAGATGTGATAATGGTCAATAGTTGAGTAATATTAACAATATTGACCAATATTGAGTTGTTAATCAATATTGTTGGTCAATATTATGGTATATTCATACAATCAAATTCATGTAGCCATTAAACTATGTGTGTGACCTCTATGTGTAAAAATGTTGATGATAATGTGTATAAAAGTATCTTCAATGAAAAATAATAATAATAAATAAAATTAATTTGAAAAAAGATTTGGTATTGATGGGATTAAGAGGGCAAGAACTTAATCCAATTTGGGGGTTGAAAGGTGGGGCCCCTGGGAGGTGACTGGGCATCATAGGGGCCACCAAATTGAGCTCTGGTAGCTTCCTCAGAAGGACGGAGACACAGACACCAACGCCGTGTGATGGCCACGGCATCCACCAGCAGGATGACCTCAGCAGGTGGGACCCCTGGGCCTTGAACCCCGAAAGCATGAGCTAAGCCAACCTTTATTCTTATAAATCTCCAGTCTCAGATATACAGTTACTAAGCAACAGTGAAAGGACTAAAGCCATTTCCCTGTTCAATTCAGTTAAAATAAACGGAAAAGGTGTATGTAAATATAGCCAACAGAATTATCTATCTTTTTAAATCTGAAAAGCATGGTACCTGTATAGAAGGCCAACCACTGACCGGCAGTGTGTGCCTTTGAACTTTCAGGATCTTCGCTTATAAATTATCCGTGTGGATGCTAAAGGTGCGAAAGAAATGACTGAAGAGGAAAATGTTCTCTTTGATCTGCGTGACACATCTCGGTAAACGAATCGTCTACATTTCCCAGCTGCATTTGCGTGGAGTAGGCATGATTTTCACATGTGCACATGTTACTAACTTCCCCAGAGTGCTGTTTATGTGTTTGGGTGTTTGATGGTAGTAACGTACAGAAATTGGATATAATAAGACCATCTGTTAAAAACCTTTGTAAAGACAAAATGGTCATTGTGGTTTAAGTTTTAAATATTGGTTTGCTTTTCCCATGACAATCCGAGATGTTTAAAAATAATATTTTAAACAAGCAGAGTTATTATAAATGTTTACAAATAATATTTTAAACAAGCAGAGTTGTTATAAATAAACAATTACAGTTTACAACTATAAAAAAAAAAGAAATGTAATAGTCATGTTTTTTATCCTAATCCCACTCAACAGACTATAAATATGTTTATTTCTTCCCTGATACACCTTAAAGAAAGAGATAAGGAGAAAAATGCTTAAACCTTAGTATATATTTCAGTTCAATAGTCTTTATAAATCCAGAGCGATAAAATCCCAAAAGATTTTAAATTTTAAATTATTCAAAATGTCTAAATCTCTGCTGACTTATTTTTTTCCATAAATGGAATGAAAATGGCATTTTGCTCCATGGCCCTAGCTGTTGCTGGATGGTTGGTTCTAGAAAAGCAACAGGCTTCTCCCCTGCCTTAGAAGAAGCAACAGTTAGAAACTCGAACAACTAGAAAACCGCTGCCCGAGAGGCTGGAGACTCAGCAGAGAAAGTCGCAGCTAGGATTTCAACCCATTTTGCACCAAATTCAGGAGAGAGACAGGGAAATAAAGAATGCTGACTGACCCCTTTGAAAGGAAAAGGCTCGCCTTATGTCCCCCTACCCCCGCCCGGTCTCCACAGGTTTCCAGAGCAAAGCGATGCAATGAAACTCGATCCATTTTATTTCAACGTAAAAGAGCAAGGTGCAGCCCGACAAGTCCATGAACCTGCACGGGGGCCAGCTCAGCTCGCGGAAGCTGGCGTGGACACTTGTCCTGTGACAGCGCAGCCAGCCTGGCCTGTGGTCTCAGCCTGTTGCGCCCACCCCGAGCTGTGCCAGGGCAGAAAGAGCAAGGGGACCCTGAGCCCCGGCTGTGCGCGCGGCCTGGGCGCGTGGGGCTCCCGGGCTGCGGGCCGCCTCGGCCAGGTGGCGGCTGCGGACCA